TGGGCCTGATCGAGGTGACTCTGAACATGCTGCCCTCAGTGAGGAAGGCAAGGGGCCGTGTGGTCAATGTCTCCAGTGTCATGGGTCGAGTGTCTTTATTTGGTGGTGGTTACTGCATCTCCAAGTATGGTGTAGAGGCCTTCTCAGACTCCCTCAGGTAATGGACAGGGATGTGGGGGCCTAAGGGAAGCATTGTCAGGGCTTTTATTTAATCAAGGCCTTTAGGATCCCATTGTGGAGAGGACACTCTCTGGTTTGGTGCTCTCTCACCTTCTCCCCCCTGAATCATTCATTGGGAAGGTCATTTCCATGTCTCTAGTAGAGGGCAGGAATGAGACCTGAGTTCAGTTCAACTTGTCCTGTCATGGAAGAGGGAGGGCATGGGGGACATTACTGAGGTAGAATTGGTTCTGTGAGTATTTTGGGCCAAGAATCCAGAACCCTGAGCTGTATGGTGCTAAACATGTTTTTCAGTTGGGATGAACATGTCATTCAAACATACAGGTAATTGTCAGGCCCCTAGAGAGTCCACAACCAACCTGCCCAGCATTAGAGAAAGGCTTGGAACCTCACCTGAAGACTATGGCAACAGACAGATTGAGATCGAGGGGACAGAAGTGTGGCTTTACCTTAGCCCAGTCAGCTGTGACAGCCATGCTTGTCACCTGTTTGTCAGTGTCCTGTAGCAGGACTGGGCTGCAGCAGAGTAAAGGTTAAACATGGAAAGCTGGAACCTGTATGTGTAGGTGGATTCTCCATGGGGGACAGGCCAGGCCAGATATGGAAGAGGAGGGTCACCAGGCAGGCTAAGGTAGACTTGTGGAGAGCCTGAGGGTGCTGGACAGTATGTATTTCGTGCTGTTGCCAATTAAACCCTTAAGGGATGTTGAAAGGGCCATTTGGGGCAGGTACATCCATGGCTGCAGGGAACTGCAAGGCTGTGCTTGGGAGGGTGTGGCAGGCAGGGCCTTGCTCTCTGAAGACAGCTGCAGGAACAAAGTGGGACATGTCCTCAGAACTTCCTGAGATACATGAGGGTAGACTGAGACTTGTGACTGAGAAGGAGGTGACTCGAGCAAGCATGGCAATGATCCTCAGCGTCTGCAGTGCATGGACAGAGGTCTTACATGGTGTCACGGGACAGAATGCCTAGCTTTAGGCCAGTGAGCTCCATCCACCAGATATCCAAAAGTGTGACATCCAAAAGCAGAGAGGTAATGCCCTCAACACTGGTCTCTTCCCCATCTGCTGCACAACCCAGACCCAAAGCTCATGACCTCTCCTCACCTCAGGCTCATGTTGGCACCTGACTGTACTTTCATTGTCAGTTTTCTCACAGAAAGTCCTCTGAAGTCTCTGATGTCTGTCTGTCTTGCAGGAGGGAGCTCTCCTATTTTGGGGTGAAGGTGGCTATTATAGAGCCTGGTTACTTCAAGACTGGTGTGTGCAGTAATGCCACTCATTTGTCAAGTGCCAAGCTGCTGTGGGACCAGGCCAGCTCAGAGGTCAGAGAGATCTATGGAGAGAAGTCCCTGGCATCTTGTAAGTGAGGTGCAAGGATCCAAACCAAACCTAGTCCTGAATCCTTCGTCTCCATTCCTGTTGCCAGTAGTAATGCTGTTATCTTTCCAATCAAAGAAAGCACATTTAAACCAATGGGGTGGGGAGAGTGGGTATGGGGTCTCATAGTTCTTTCATTCAGAACATGCAGCTCTGTTCCATCTGAAACTGTCACCATCACAAAGCTGAGAATGAGTCAGTGACTGAGGGAGGCGGGGTTAGGCAGAACTTCCCATGAGCTAAGACACAGGACGTGAGGTGCATGGTTCTTCCTTGAAGCTGGGTTGTGGTCCGTCTGTAAAATAAAATCACGGTTTCATAGTCTCCAGATGAATAGAGGAACAGTACTCTTTAACATTCCTTCTTAAAACTAGCAAGTGAGAAACAACTGCTTCTTACTTCCTAGGCAGGGAGCTGGCCACGAAGACTTAAAGGAGGAAGGTATCCATGCTGTGAGCCTAGAGCCTCTGGGATGGGTTCCCCAACCCTGAGGAAACCAGGCTGTTCTTCATGGTTACTCTCAATTAAACACATGTCTAAGCAGTCTTACCTTGTTGAATATACATTTCATCCATAACTATACCTGGCTTGTGTGACTCTCTCTTCTTTCCACTGTCCCCAGGACTCTGGGGCCTGGTCAACAATGCTGGCATCGCCATTCCCTCGGGTCCCAATGAGTGGCTGAACAAGAAGGACTTTGCAAAAGTCCTGGATGTGAACCTGATGGGCCTGATCGAGGTGACTCTGAACATGCTGCCCTCAGTGAGGAAGGC